GTTTTGTTTTGAACTTATTCATCTCGTTTGTGGTCACACTGTTTAGTTTCTCTGCCCAAAAGCCTGGTTTATTCATTTAATATTAATAATTTTATTTTTGGTCTCTCCGATTTCCTTGTACATATCCACCCTTATAACAGGAAGGGTATTTACATGTCATTTCTCCACACGGAGCAGAATTCTTAGCACTTAACACACATTACTTGGATAAATTATCAAATTATAGTTATGGAGAAAATTCATTATCCCGTCCTTTCATCACCATCATTTGTGAGCGGGTGGTGATGAGAAGTTCCAATAAATTAACAGGCAGGTCCCTAGAGTGCCCAGGCCCCAACAACCCATTCAGGCTAGGACAGGAGGCCAAGGTCAGGATGGGCTCTCGCTGGTAAGGGTGACACAGGTGCATCCTGCAGACCCACCAGGTTCCTATCTGCCTCTTCCGCTCCTTACCGCATCCTTGCCTCCCCTGCTCTTCAGGTCCTGAATCTCGGCCATGAGTCTCTGCAGCTCCTGGCACGTGTACTTGTACAGCTCGTAGTCTCTCCCGGGGTCCCGCAGGTCTACCTCAGCCTCCTCACTGTAGTACTTGCCTTCCTGTGGAGGCACGGAGACAGGCCTTGAGCAGCGAGCAAAAGTCTCCCCGTCAGGACCAGGGACACGGGCTGAGATCAATAACAAAGGAACCCCAAAGCCGGTCTCTAAAGGATCTGGTCCTCAAATCAAATATTTATTTATTTTTAATATTTATTTATTTATTTTGTGTGGGGTTTTTGTTTTTTTTTTAATTAAATTATTTTCTGTGTACAGATCTTACTGTTTTTCTTCTTTTCAAAATGGAAAATAGCCGAAACCGGTTTGGCTCAGTGGATAGAGCGTCGGTCTGTGGACTAAAAGGTCCCAGGTTCGATTCTGGTCAAGGGCATGTACATGGTTGTGGGCACAACCCTGGTAGGGGGTGTGCAGGAGGCAGCTGGTCGATGTTCCTCTCTCATTGATATTTCTAGCTCTCTATCCTTCTCCCTTCCTCTCTGTTAAAAAAAATCAATAAAATATATTAAACAAAAAACAAAAAAATAAAATGGGAAATAATTCCTCTCTTCTGATTATAAAGTAATGCATGCTTAGTGACAGATCCAGAACACAGTGCGGAGTACCGAAAACAAAATGAAAAAAAATGGGGGGTGGCGGTAAGAGATCAACCAAAGGACTTGCATGCATGTATATAAGCACAACCAGTGGTCACACAAGTAGGGGGGCGAGGGCATGTGCTGGGGGGTGGGAGAGGCCGGGGAGAGATCAATGAGAGAAAAAGGAGACACACGTAATATTTTCAAAAATAAAGAATTAAAAAACAAACAAACAATAAAGGCTCCTTGGTTCTTGGGATGCTGCAGCTACAACTGATGGGGATGCTCCGGCTTTGCAGAGCCAAGTGCATTCTGGGCCCCTTATTAAACAGAGGCCACCCGGAAGGTTGTCCCTGTGACCCGCAGCTGCAAACCCACAGCCAGTGCCTGGCAACAAGCTGCAACTTCTCAGCAGCCCGGCAGCCTGGCGAAGCTGACCTGCTCGGGGTCAGACCGGTTCCGCTTCCCTTCCGCTGGAGCCCCATCACTTCGGATCACTTTGGGCTTCCGTTTCTTGCTCGACTCTGATGACATGGTCGTGTGGTGAGGTCAGGAAGAAGCGGTGGAGACCTGTGAAGAGGAGAGAGCGTTTGAGATTTCCCTGTGGTCAGAAAACTTAAGTCTAACGAGCAGCTGTGGTCGTTTACACCCTCGGTAACTCAAGAGAAGAAGCAACCGTTAAGCCCTGGTGGGGTAACTCTGTTGGTGGAGCGTCATCCCGAACACCAAAAGGCTGTGGGTTCGATTCCTGGTCAACGCACATATGTAGGTTGTGGGCTCGGTCCCTAGTCAGTGTGTGTATGGGAGGCAACGGATGAATGTTTCTCTCCCTCTTTCCCTCTCTCTCCCTTCCTCTCTCTAAGCATATTCCCGGTGAGGATTTAAAAGAAAAAAAGACAACCCTCCAAAGCTGCAATTAAATCCTCTGTAAAAGGGGGGCGAGGGGTCACCCCTCAGCCTGTCCAACATGAACTCATCTTCCTCCCGGCCGCCTCCGCTAAGGCACCACCACCACATCACTGACCGCATTCCACAGCCGGCCGATGGCACCTCCCTGATACTGCCGCCCCATCACTGGGAGCGAGTCTGATCTAAAGTGCTTTATGGGTAATGTTCTCATTTGCTCTTTATACACACCTTCCGGATAAGAACAAGCACCATTTTATAGATGAGAACTCGGAGGAGGAGACATTGGGGAATGACCTGCCCCAGCTGACACTTAACCACATTATTGTGCCTCCTCCACTTGCACCATCTCATCTGGGGATGCTAACATTTAAGAGAGCAGAGCCTAGCCCTGGCCAGTGTGGCTCAATGGATAGAGTGTCAACCTGCGGACTGAAGGGTCCCGGGTTCCATTCCGGGTGAGGGCACAGGCCCAGGTTGCAGGCTGGATCCCCGGTGTAGGGGGAGGGAGGTGGTGCAGGAGGCAGCCGATCAGTGATTCCCTCTCATCATTGATGTTTCTCTCTCTCTCCCTTCCTCTCTGAAATCAATAAAAATATATTTAAAAAAAGAGCAGAGCCTACATTTCATAGAGCTCCCAGATCACGCAGCAGCCTCCCTCAGCTCTCTCTCCTGTCACCACAGCCCCGAGGTGGTCAGCACCCCCTCCCGTACCCCAACAAATCAGTCACCAACCATCATCCATGGAGTCAGGGAAGCCCTGAGCTGGAGTCTGAGTCCCGGGACAAGTCACTGCCCTGTTCTCTGGGCCTGTGTCCCCCTCACAGAACCAACGAGAAAAAGGTCCCTACCTCAGGGGTGGCTGTGGCCGTGAACACGGGAATGCCCTCCTCGGGGGGAGGCGATGCAGACGACGGGGAGCGGGGCCTCGGGTGGTACATGTGTGATCTTCAAGGATGGTGGACACCCGAGGAGGAAGCGCCTCCCTCTCCCATTCCTGTTAGAAATGGCTGATTGCTTCAAGGAGCGTCTTATTTCCCTCCTTTAACATCGACGAACCCCGACGTTCCTTGGTGAACAAAGGGACTCTATCTCAGAGCCTGAGACAAGGAGATCTGGCCGGACTCATGAACAAGGACCTGCCTTCCCTTTAAACATATTATTTTCTTTAGCAAAGCCTTCTGCATATGACAAGTGAACGGAGTTTTACATTTATGACATAGACGACAACTTTTCAAGTAAATTTAGATTTTAAAATTGGCTCGATGAAGCCCTGGCCGGGTGGCTCAGTTGGGTGGAGCGTCCTCCCCTGCACCCAAGGATTACGGGTTCGATTCCCGGTCAGGACGCATATCCAGGTTGCGGTTTGGTCGGGGTGCCTATGGGAGGCAATCCATCCATGTTTCCTTCTCACGTCGATGTCTCTCTCTCTCTCTCTAAAAATCAATACAACGTGTTTTTTAAGCGACTCCATTAAGAACCTTTCCTAAGCAGTCCACCATGGTAACTGATTTTGGCCAAACCCACCAAGCCGAGAGCCCCAACGGGAAGACCCGGAAGGCTTCAGGGTGAGCATCCACGACTTGGACCCAGACCAGCGTGTCTTTCCCACGCGAGCGCTCAATAAATGGGCGCTGTTTTCTCCGCCACCTGCGTCCTCGTCGTCTCAGGGCTGCAAAGTGGGGCCTGGGATGCCGCAGGCGGCCTTTTCCACGAGAGGACACGGAGCGCGCAGCGGCCCTGAGGACGGAGAACCCGGGCCGGACTCCAGCCCGAGGATGGCCCCCGGGCGGCCCGCCCCTCGGTCCCCGAGCCCCGGCCTCGCCCTGCCGCCCTCCCGGGGGCCCGACCCCTCCTCACCGCCCCGCGCCCCGAACCGGCCCCGGCGTTCCACTCACCTCGGGCGGCAGGCCGTGGGAACTGCAGCCCGCGGACCATAGAGAAGCGGAAGGTGGGAGTGAGCGGCCGGAAGAGCGACACGGAGGCCGGAAGTGAGGCACGGAGGCCGGAAACGGATGGTGGAGGCCGGAAGCGAGGCGTGGAAGCCAAGCTTGGGAAGGAGTGAGCGACCGGAAGTGAGGCACGGAGGCCGGAAGCGAAGCTCAAAAGCCCGCGATGGCCGCTGGCGCACCGTGCTGGCTGTTGTTTGGTGACTTGGGCGTCAGGGGCTGAGGCAACTGGGTTGCCAAGGAGGATCCCCACTGCCGTCACCTCACGCTGTCCTCCCAAACCAGGAAACTGGAGCTGCGAGGGCCAAGACTCAAGGTGTTTTACTCACGCTTTTCCCCAGCGCCTTCCTGCAACCGGTAGGCTCTCTGCCAAGTGTTTGTTGAATGAATAGGTCTTTTGCCCAAGATAACACAAGAGTCGGGTAGTGTAAAGCCTTGGCCGGGTAGCTCAACTGGTTAGAGCAATACAAGAATCCACCAATGAATGCATCAACAAGTCCGTGTTTCTAAAATCAATAAATTACAAATGTTTTTAAAGTGTGGCAGTGTGAAGATTTTGGACCCCTGTGAATTTGCCTCCATAACCTGGGTTCTTAACCATCATATTCATCCTAACATCTCACACTATTGAGGGGAGCCACCAGGGAGGGCAGTAACCCCATCTTACACGTGTTTTCCCCACAAGTGCATCAGCAGTTTCCTATTTTAGGCCAGATTTGCCCAGGCAGTTGTAGTCTTAATGCATGGTTTCACAGCTCCCAGGGTTTTCTACCCCTGGTAGGAATTGCACGGGCAGGTTCAGGACTTTGGTATAAAACCTTACCTGTAGGTAGAACATTGATGTCCTGAATCCCTGGTGACACTTCCTTCTGCCATGGGGGAGGCCCTCTTTGGGAGTAGCTCAGGAAGTACAGTACCGCACCATGGAAACCAGCAATTGGACCTGGGAAGCTGGCCCTGCCAGGAGCACCTACCAGAGTTCCTCGCAGATGATGAGAAGACACCATGGTTTACGGTAAACATTTAATTGGCTCCATCAGCAATTCCAGCACAAGGGAGGCAGAATCAACCTACCCAGAGGTTCATGAGGTGTGGAGGTCACAACCCAGGGGCCCAGAAGAATGAGAGTTAGGGTGATCAGAGGTGGTTGGAGAAAAGGGATGCCGGGTGAGGAAAAGCACAGAACCTGGCCGGATGTCTGCCTACAGGAAGGGAAGGGAGGGCACAGATGGGCTGCAGCTATACATTCAAGTTCTCAACCTCATTGTGTGGAGGGTAAGCAGTGAGCCTCTTCCCAGCTGTCTTGTATTAGGAAACCCTCCCACGTGGTCTTGTCCCCTCTGTGCTATCTATTTCCCCCATCCGGTATTCCAAGTTCCGCAACTCAAAACCAGGTTCTGAATTCTAAGTTCTACCTTCTGGGTTCCTGGTTCTTTTTTATTTTTTATCATTTTATTTTTATTGCGTTTTTTACAGAGAGGGAGAAGGCTAGAGAGTCAGAAACAGCAATGAGAGAGGAACATCGATCAGCTGCCTCCCACACAACCCCCACCAGGGATGTGCCTGCAACCAAGCCAAATGCCCCTGACAGGAATTGAACCTGGGACCCTTCAGTCCGCAGGCCGATACTCTATCCACTGAGCCAAACCGGGTAGGGCATGGGTTCCTGGTTCTTGTTCTGTTCCGTTTCCTGCCCCGGATCCTTTCCAGCTCCATTCCCCCAGCCTTTTTGGGCTAATTAGGTGGGCCTCCTGCTGACCTTGCTAACTTGAGGATTTTCTTTGACTCCTTGCAATTCTAGGCAGTTCTAGGCTTTTCCCCAGCAGGAGGGACGTGGTTCAGACTTTCCCATTGGAGACCAGGGAATTTCCCCGTGAGCCTGGTCTGCTTTGATCTCTTCCCTGCCCACCCCACCTCTAACCACTAGACACACTACCTTTTGTGTAACTAAAGCTCAGCTGTTGTTTTCCATGGCGATACTTGGGGACTGGTGGCCTCTAGATGAGGAATTTTAGGGGAGGGGGGAATGTAAGAAGACATAAAAGGTTGTGTCCTTCATTCAAAGAAATTAAAAACTGCTTCCAGCACAGGGGGAGGGATGGGCAGGGCAGACAGAGCTGCGAAGTCCTCAGACCTCTGTCATCCTCAGCTTCCTGTTGTCTGAGCTGAGCACCAGCCCCCAGCGTCCTTCCAGATCAGAGAGGAAACCAAGACAGACGGACTGGGAGCTGCTCTGTCCATGGCTGCCCTGAGAGAGAAGGGCAGGCGGCAGCAGCATCACTGGAGAGGCGAGATCTTCAAAGGGATCATGATCCGAGACTCCATGTGCCGCACCAGGGGGACTGCGGAGAGAGGCAGAGGTCACAGAGGTGAAGGAGGCCAGCGCACCCAGGACTCTGGCTTCTGAGGGGGGAGAAGGCCTGGGGTACTGAGACAGGAAATGCCCCGTCCTTCTGGAACGGCCCAGGGAGAGCACCGGGTCTTCCAAACTGAGGGAGAAGGGAGGACTTCGGTGGTGATGAAATGCAACATGTAAACGCTTGTCATTGATTACCCTGGTTTGGTTTGCTATGGCAACCCCCAGAGCCTAGAGCGCTCATTTAGGCCTGCCTGGACCATGGGCAGTGAGCCACCAGGATGGAACCCCAGTAACTCAGGGTCTTCAAAGCAAGCTCCACGTCGCTGAGGTAGCCAAGGGAGGCTGGATTCCACCCTCAAAGAGGGCCCCTAGCAGATGACCTGTGTAGTACTTACCTGTGTAGTAGACATTTTCGTCCCAACCCCTCTTCCTCCACGCTGCATTTCTAGTCTCTTCCCGAGACTGCAGGTCTTTGTAGGCTGCGGGAGGAAGGCATGGCCTCATTCCTTGGGCACACAGGGCTGGCTCGGGCCCCCCCCACCCCCCGCACTGCCCCCGGGGGGCCCAGCCTACCCCAGAGATGGTGCACCACGTAGAGCTCCCCTATCTGCGAGAAGAAGCCGCCCACCGCCTCCTGGTTCTCCTGTCGGTACTTGATGGCCCGAGCCCTGCGCGGCAGAGGGGTGTTGGGGAGGGGTGTTGGGGAGGGGTGTTGGGGAGGGGTGTTGGGGAGGAGTGTATGCGCCAGGCCGGTACAGAGGGCCCCGAGGTGTCCCCAGCCTGGTTTCTCTGCTCCACCTCAAGGGGGAAGCCGGAGGCCCCCAGCTCTTGAGATGGCCGGAGAATGGGGTGACGGAAGTGAGCTGGGGCTGGGTGGTCCCAGGGGATCCTCTAGCAGGCGCTCACCTCCTGGGTGCATTCCCCCCCGGATCCACGAGGGGCAGCGGTTGCAGAGTGCCCTGCCCTTTGGCCCCGGGAAAGGTGGTACCCCAGGGGCCTTGGCAGGGCAGCTGGGCAGGGTCTCCCCAACCCGAGCCCCCGGCACTGCCACTCACCAGTTGTTCCCCCACTCGATCATGGTTCCTGGCTGGAAGAGAAGCAGGAAGGAATCGAGTGAGCCCTCCCCTTGGACGCCAGTGTCACCGCTGGGGGAAGACCGGACACTGTCAGGCCTCCCAGCTCCCAGGGTCACGTGGCCTCACTCAGGGGCCCTGCCTCACACCCGGGTGGGTGCATACCCACCTCCGTGCTGCGCCCAGAGGGAGGGAGCGGCTAGAACCCCCATCTGCATGCCGGGGCACCCACCTCAGGGCGGGCCCCTTGCAGCTGCACTACAGCAGGGAACGCGCGGGCCGGCGGGGGCCGGGCGGGGGGGAGGAAGGCACCTTGAGCTTGTAGGTCCTCAGCTCGTAGATGTTGGGCCCGGCGCGGGGCTGCGGCTCATTCCAGAAGCTGAACTCCAGAAGCATCTGGTTTCTCCGGGACAGCAGCATCTGGCTCCGCTCCTTCCGGAACTCCAGGTACTCCTGCGGGCGCGGCGGTCAGGGCAGGGCAGCGGGGAGTACCCCGCGGCAGGGCCCAGGGCCCACGGGGTGGCGGAGGCAGCCCCAGCACAGGCTGGGCCGGAGCCGGAACCGGTACCCACCTTGTTGTTTTTGAGCTTGTTCATGCAGTCCATGAGGGCAGGGTAGCCGCCGGAGAAGCGCCACAGGTGCACTGTTGTGGGGTGAGGAGAGGTTCGGGTCAGGGGGCCCCTGGGACCCCGGCCTGCTTCTCCCCGAATTGGCTAAGCTTGTATGTAAGCGGGGTGGCCTCCAGCCTGGCTCTCTGTAGCACCAGGACCCTTTGCCTTGGGCGGGGGGTAGGGGAGAGGGGGTAGTGCTGGCAGGGCATGACCCCAGACACAAATCCAGAAGACCTAGGCTGGAGCCCCAGCTCTGCCAGGTGGCCTTTGACCCCTCCAGGCTTCAATGTCCTCATCTTTTTTTTTCTTTAAAAAATTTTTAAAAATATATATATTTTATTGATTTTATACAGAGAGGAAAAGAGAGGGATAGAGAGTTAGAAACATCTATGAGAGAGAATCATCCCCTATTGGGGATGTGCCCGCAACCAAGGTACATGCCCTTGACCAGAATCAAACCTGGGACCCTTCAGTCCCCAAGCCCACACTCTATCCACTGAGCCAAACCGGTCTCGGCTCTTTTTAAAATTTTTAATATATATTTTTTTATTTCAGAGAGGAAAAGAGAGATAGAACCATCAATGATGAGCGGGAATCATTGATCAGCTGCCTTCACGCCCCCTTCTGGGGCCTGGGTGGGCGGCGGTGGTGCTGGAGAGGGGGCAGCTCACCTGCCTGGTCCTGCTCCCCGTACCACGTGTTCCAGTTGCCCACGAGCGAGCAGGGGTAGTCCTCATCCAGGTGCAGCTTGGGCAGCACAGCCTCCCTGCGGGAGGGGCACAGGGATGGGGGAGGGCTCAGACCAGCCACGTCGAACCCTGAGGTCAGGGATCCCCCTCAGGCCCGCGGGGCTGGGGGCCAGCCTCCCCATCTCTAAGAAGCAGACGTGGGACAGGACATCCTGAGGACGGGCGGCTCTGAAAGGTACCTCCCTGGGTTTCCGCAAGGAGGATGGGGCTGGGATACGGTCCCCACCCCAACAGGCACTGGGACAGGCGGGTGGAGGAAGATGCTCACGTCAGGCTGTTGTAGGCATCCAGACACTCGGGCTTCACGTTGTGAACTGCAAGGGAGGACGGAGAGTGGGGGTGTATGTGTGTGTCCTCAGGGAGCCCCACGGGGCCTGAGCTCCCAGACCCTCATCCCCAGGCCGAAGCCTTGTGTGGAGGGGCCAGCTGGGGGGCGCACAGCCACTCACACTGGATTTTGTAGAGGTTGCTGGTCTCCTTCTTGGACAGGAGGGTGGAGTGAGCGTCCTTCCGGGGGTCCACCTTATGCACGAAGAGTGAGCGGAACCAGCTGCCTTCATTGTCCTTGGAATAGAAGCTGCGGGACGAAGGGGTTCAGAAGGACGCACGGATACGATACGGGGAGCCTCTGCCCCTGCACAGGCTCAGCTGCCCCGTTTCCCTGGGCTGGTGACCCACATTCTGGGAACGGGGTCACGGGATCCCATGGCAGCTCCAGGATGAATGGCACATGTCGTGGGAGCCGGCTGAGCAGACCTGGCCCCTTCTGCAGGGTTCCTGGCACCCAGTCTGCTTCCTGAATCGCTGATGAGCCTCAAGAGGCCACTCCCATCTCTCTCTCCAGCCTCCTTGCCTCCACGTCACCCCGTTTTCAAGGGGTTCTCCACGGGGCCACACACAACTGCACCCCGTTTCCTGGAGGCCAAGCAAACCCAGACCCCCCTATTGCACATCCAAAGTGCTAAGAGCCCAACCTATACTGTCAGCCTCTCTCAGGTGTGTACCCCTCTCCTGATCGCTCTGCCCTGAACGAACCAGGCTCTTCCACTCTGTGCTTCCTTCCTAAGTTCTGTCCCTCTGACGAGAACGCTGCACTCCCCTCCTTCCCAGCGCTCACACTACGCCCGGCCTGCGCCCCTTCCGGCCCCACACATGGATGGTCAGAGACAAATAAGCTTTGCCCCCGAGGAGGTCCCAGTGGCTGGAAGCAACGAGCCTTGGCACCCAATGACAGCTGCAGGTCTCAGGCCGAGCCCAGGAGAGGGAGCCTGAACTTAGCCTCTGGCAATCTGGGCGGGCTCTCCAGAGGAGGTGACCTGTCCAGTCTCCAAATCTCCAGGGTAAAAAGCATAGCAAGGCGACACTCATTCATCCAGCCAACACGTAATTGACAAATATCTGCCTTGTGTACCTCCTTAGGGCGCTGTGAGAATGAATGAATGAATGAATGAACCAACGAATGAACGAATACGGTGCCTTGTTCAGAGCAGAGGGACTGTTACCTCTGACCCGGAGAGCGCCAGGCAGATTCCGAGAAGAACCAGGGGTGTTTCAACAAAGCCACCAGCCGAGCGGACACGGCCCTGGAAGATCGGCTCTCCAGTTTGCCAACCAAGACCTTTGCTCCAAAACTGGGCCCCAAGTCATTGATTAACACCAGCACTGACCAAGACCCACAGCCAGCGGCCAGCCTGGGCGAGAGCCCACAAGCAGAAGGCAGGCCCAGGAGCTCCGGGGCGCTCCCAGGTCTTCCCGACACCCTCCGATCTCTCCTGCCTCTGGCCCCCCCCTTCCCCGGGTGCCTAAGGAGCGAAGATCCTTCCCACGGGAAAACCCGGCAAGGGGCCTGGCCAGGATCCCAGGGCAGCGTCTGGCCTGGAACCCAGCATCCTCAGGCTCACCTTTCCAAGTTCATTCCCTCAGCGAAACCCTTCTCTCCCAACCCCGCAGCAGAATCAGTGCTTTCAGAGCACAGGCTCTGGGCAAACGGGGTTCTCATCCCAGCTCGGCCTCTCCTCTCTGAGCCTCATGCCCCTCACCTGGAAACAGGGCCCGAAGGACGGGCCTTTCCGCCCACGAAACGAAGGCCTGGGTGCCAGCTCTCATCCACTTTGCCAAGCTTTCCGGAGCCCATTCCCACTGGAAGGGGATAACCACAGAGCCAGGGTTCCCCATCCCAGGGGGGTCTCAAATCCCCCGAGAATTCTCAGGACACCCCCCCACCCCCCGCCCCCCAGACCACTGTAACAGCCTCTATGGGAATGGGCCTAGTGAGCAGATTTTAACAAGCCCACCAGGGGAGGCTGGTGCACACTCCAGTCTGAGAACTACTGTTCCCCAGCAGTCCCAATTTCTTTATTATTTTTATGTCATCTGGGCAAACCATCCCAGACACGCCAAAGATTCTGTTACCAAAACTCCACCAAGAACGCCTCTTAAGCCTAGAAAAACACAATACCGCTTTGTCCGGCCTGTGGGGAGGATCGGCCCCGTCCACAAAAACACCTCTCACATTCCCCCCTCGGCCCTGCCACCACTTTCATAGGACCATGTCTCGTCTCCCCAAACACACGGCATGTCCTTCCACACCCCGTCCTCTCCCCCCCACCCCGGGAATACCTGGCGCAGGGCTTCCCGCATGAGAACGGCTCCATGCATGCCCCAGTGAGAACCTCAGGAATGACACATCTGCACTCTTAATAGGTACCCATAGTCCGATGCCCCCCAACCCTCCCCCCCGAAACAGCTCCAGAATGTTCTATGGATTCGCTAGGAAGCAGGGGTCTAGGCACATGCTGAAACACTCCTGTTCCGTGTTGGCCGAAGCTATTGATAGAAAGGCCCAGACAGAGAGAGCGAACACCGAAGGTCAGGGTCACCGGTACAGCAGGAGGAACGGCTGTTTACTGAGCACCTACTGTGGGCCCATACCTAACGCTCACAACGTGTTTCTGAGAAACACGCGGCTCCCACGCTCCTGGGTGGCCTCCGGATGTTTGCCTGCATACGGCTTCTACGACCAGCGGATCCTGTACCCCAGCCTTTCATCTCTCCTCTGGCACATAAGGCGATCGCCCCAAGGCCCTCTCCGGCCTCGGAGGAGGGGCTCCTGCAGACCCTGCCGGAGACATGGCCTAGAGCAGAGGGCAGACCTTCCACCCCTAGGGGCTAGCAGCCTCACCTCCCGGCCCTTTAGGCCCTTTAAATCCAAACAGCTCTATGAGACCCGGACTGTTTTACCTCTCCCATGTGACAGGTGAGATACCTGGGGTTTCCCGAGGCCGAATGACTTGCCCAAGGTCACCCCACCGAGAAAGGCGGCAGGCGGCAGGCTCTTCCCATGCTACCAGCTTTCACATCCGGCTCCTCTCTGCCAGCTGCCCCGATACCCCACTGCACAGCACACAGCGAACTGGCATCTCAGGGCCCACGGTGGGCGAGGTGGGGGGTGGGGGGGCAGCTTGGGCCGGGGCAATTGGCAGGAAGAAGCCTGCCTCCTTCCACAGGGCGGATGGGGTCCTCGCCTCTCACCAAATGTGCCTGAACCCTGGGCCAGGGGCTGGGGAAACAGAAAAAACGAGGTGATGGTGTAGTAGGGGAGACAGGCAAGCGCTGGACAGGGTGTCAGTGCAGGATGGGAGGCGTACAGGACGCTGGGGACGGGGGAGGGGGGGAGGGGAGGCGAGGGGCCAATCAGGGAGGCGCTGGCCCAGAGCAGGCCCCGCACAAAAGCTCAGGCCCTCAGGCCGGGGGCAGGGTCCAGCCAGCCGTCCTCTCCCAGGAGGCACTGGGCGTCAGGAGGCCAGGGTCCAGGCCCAGAGCTGCCCCCGGAACAGCAGGGGGAGTGACCTTGGGCAATTCCCACCCATCCCCAGGCCTCCTTGGCCCCACCTGTACTGCTCAGGGCTGGGGAGCAAGGGGTCTGCGCAGCTGTGGCTCTTGGGGATCCTCCATCCCCCCCGCCCCCAATTCCAGAGGGAGAAACTGCTTTTCCCAGGGAGCCCCAATGGATGCTACCGCACAGTCACCGCAAAGGCCCGGGAGGGGGGAGAGGAGGGGGCTGAGGCCACTCCTGCTGCCTTCCCTGCTCCAGGGCCCAGGACCGGCCCCTCCCGTTCACCCCATCTTTCACCCTCTGCCCAGAGCCAGGCACCCCCTGCAACAAAGACGCTGGGCATACCCATCGCCCCCATCCTGGCTCAGGGCTCTACCCCAGGCCTGGGTTTTGCACCCGCCTCCAACCCATAGACTGCAAGCCGGAGCGTCTGCGCATCGCCCACGCCCAGGCCCTGCACCCCGCCCTGCACCCCCGCGCTCACCGCGCCGCCGCCCGCTCCGCGCGGGGCCCGGGGCCGCCCAGCAGCCGCGCCGCCGCCCAGATGCTGCCCAGCCGCGGAGCCATGTTGGCGGAGGGCAGGTTGGAGGGAGACCCGCCCCAGCCCGGCGGCGCGGCCAAGCGTAAGTAAGTCCCGCCTCCCCCGGGCACCCCGCCTCCTTCCGCCTCGCCGCCGAACCCCCATTCCACCGCCGCTGGGGGGAGGAGGGGGGGCAGCCGTTCTTTCCTCTGAGCTCCTGCGCGCAGCTGCTGACCTGCTCTGTGACCCAGGAAAGCCCTTGCCCCGCTCCGGCCTCAGTGTCCAGTCCAATGAAATGGGAGCGTTTCAATAAAATGGGAACAATGAATGAGGAATTCTTTTTTTTTTAATTTAATATATTTTATTGATATTTTACAGAGAGGAAGGGAGAAGGACAGAGAGTTAGAAACATCCATCAGCTGCCTCCTACACACTCCCCACTGGGGGTGTGCCCGCAACCAAGGTACATGCCCTTGACCGGAGTCGAACTGGGGACCTTTCAGTCCGCAGGCTGAAGCTCTATCCACTGAGCCACACCGGCTAGGGCAGAGATGAGGGATTCTTAGCGGGCATGGATGGATGAGCATCAGAGTGAGGCCCTGGAAACTGCGTTTTTCTGGGGACGCGGGGAGCCACAGGCGGTGTTGATCGCACTGTCAAAGCCGCAAACCCCCTCGCAATGTAAGACTGGTGGGCAAGGCTCAGGGCCGCGCCATGCCATCTCTCCATCATCTCCTTTACTCTTCTCATCCGCCTTCACCATCTCCTCCTGCGTCTCCTGGGGCCCCACACCCTCCTCCTGCCCGGGCCAGCTCCTCTGTCTGCTCTGCAAAGGAATCCCTGCTCTGCCTCAGTCCCCCAGATCACAGACGTTAGCAGAAGCAGAGAGCTTGCAGACGCCACACGGGGGCCAGGGGCTTAGTGGCTTCCAGAGGGACGTGGAAGTAAGCACACACCCACCCCAGATGCGAGCCCACCGCAGGCAGATGGCTCCTGGCTGGTGTGCTTGGAGCCGGGGCGTGGAGGGCAGGCTCTCATTCTGGGATTCCTTCAGCAAGTACTGGGTCTGCCTGGCTCTGAGACACCAAAGGTGGCAGAACGGTAAAGTCCTGCCCTCTTGGGACTTAAGGCAAAATCAAATCAGCCCTGACTTTGAACCCCTCCAGGCCGGCAGGCACCTTCGGCCTCTCCCCCCTCACCGCTCCTGCCCAGACACAAAATATTTACTGGGCAAGTGAGAGATGTAAACAAAAACATTTCTGCCAATTGCCACCGAGACTGTGAAGTATGGGGAGCTCTGAGGACTTATAATGGGGAAGAAGAGAGAAAAGGGAGGTCTCATATAGACTCTGGGGGTCAGTGATGACATCTATAAGAAAGCAAGGCTCAAATGATGATTTCCCCCATTTTCTAAAGTTGCTACAACACACATGTAGCATAGGTGTGATTTATTAAAAAAGGAAACTATATCCTTATGACAAATGGAAAAACCTGAATCGATTGCCATCAACAGCCCTGGCTGGTCAGCCTGCGGGCTGAAGGGTCCCGGGTTCGATTCCAATCAAGGGAACATGCCTGGGTTGTGGGCTTGGCCCCCAGGAAGGAGTGTGCAGGAGCAGCCGATCCAATTCTCTCTCATAACTGATGTTTCTCTCTCTCTCCCCCCCTCCCTTCCTCTCTGAAATCAATAAAAACACATTTAAAAATAAATAAAATAAAGAATGGGGGTATAATGGGGTGTTAGACACAGCTGGGCCCAGTGGCTCCTTGGGGTGATCAGAGAAACCACAAGGGGGTAAGCTCCTCCTTCAGTCAGAGTGATGGGAGCTCCCAGTCACAGCCGCTTCCGGGAAAGCCCAGGTGGGCCTATGAGGTGCAGCAAATCAGCTGTCCTTCCCTGAGGACCCGAGTGTGGCAGGCCTGGGGAGGCGGGCACGACTGCCCCCTCACTGTGAGAATACAGTCATCTTTTATTGCTTTTTACAGAGAGGGAGAGGAATAGAGGGCTAGAAACATTGATGAGAAAGAGTCATCAATCAGCTGCCTCCTGCACACCCTCTACTGGGGATGTGCCCGCAACCAATGTACATGCCTTTGACTGGAATCGAACCCGGGACCCTTTAGTCCGCAGGCTGACGCTCTATCCACTGAGCCAAACTGGATTCGGCCAAAGAGCAGTTTAGACAGCCGCCATGTTGGACAGCCGCCACGTTGGACCGTGTGACTTGGCAGCCGCCATGTTGACCGCATGGCTTGCAGCTCCCCTGGGGGCCGCCATCTTGAAACAGCAAAGGCCAACCCCTCCCTTTGAATTAGCTAATCTCCGAAGACTGTGAGCCTGAGCTCCATTAAGAGCAAAGGCCAGGTCATGTGCTCCAGGGGTATAAAGCCAAGCAGACAGTCTGCTCGGTGTGCACGCGCTTCCAGACCGTGTGTGTGTGTGTGTGTGTGTGTGTGTGTGTGTGTGCGCGCGCGCGCGCAGCCTCCTGCGTGGAAGTAGATATGTCTGCCTTGCTGCCTGGCTCCCGAGTGCTTTGTGTTCTACCAGGACCCCTGACTTGGGGGGCTCGCCTTATTTCTAACATCCTCTCACCTGACTCTGGGCCTAAGCCTTGGAGGATAAGTAGAGAGAATTGCCAGGAGCAGGGAGAACCTGAAGCTGAGCAAGCCCCGTGTGCCCGTCTGCAGGGGAGAAACGGGTCTCCAGTGACCGGCTCAATCCCACAGGCTTGGAGGGCGGGCCAGCTTCCCACCCAGAGCGACGGCGCGGGCAGCCGGGATGACCTGCCCCGGACATGCCCACCGAGGCTGCCTAGCAACGCGTCGGCCACAACATCGAGGCCATTTGGAAGCCATAGGAAGCCGGGACCCCGGGGTGGGGAGACACTGGTCCTCCTCGTCTCCATGGAGAGTCCTCAGCACATTCCTGGTGTTCCTGGCTGCCTCTGCAGGGGAGGAGGAGGGAGGGCTGGTCTGCAGCCCCCTCATGCTGGTGTAGTAGGCATTTCCAAAGAGGGTTTTCCCATCTTCCCCCAAGTCAGGCGGGGCACACTCGCACCCCTGACCCAGAGGGTGTGGGAAACGGGCGTCCCTCCCAGCCGCTCACCTGGAATGCAGCTCGGAGAGCTTCACCCCTACCCCAGCTACAGGGTCAGCCCCTTCCAGTTTACCCAACTCTCTGTTTCATCGCTGAATGTCCCCGCCCCCAGACTGCCCCTCACCCCCCACCCCCACCCCCGTCCAGGGAAAACCGAGAGGTTTGATCATCCTAATTGTGGCCCTTTCCCGCTCCTCAGGACACCCCCTCTTCCATCCCAGAATCTTTTTTTTTTTTAAATATATTTTATTGATTTTTTTTTTTTTTTTACAGAGAGGAAGGGAGACGGGGAGAGAGTTAGAAGTAGCGATGAGAGAGAAACATCAATCAGCTGCTTCCTGCACACCCCCACCTGGGAACGTGCCCTAACCAAGGTACCTGCCCTTGACCGGAATAGAACCTGGGAACCTTGAGTCCGCAGGCCGATGCTCCATCCACTGAGCCAAACATTAGGGCCCCAGGATCTTTCCTCTGCTTAGCTAACTCCATTCCCCCTGCCTCGCCACACCAGCTAACCGAGCAGCTGGTCAGAACGGGTTCTTGCCCCACGGACCAGCATTCTGGGCAGCGAACCAGAGAGATGCTGGGCAGTGATTCCACGAATGAGCAACCGGGCCATTTCCAATTACGGCGAAACCAATCGCCCCCCATCGGAGCAGCTTGAAACAATAAACATTTATTAAACCACAGGGTTCCCGATGGGCCGGGGATTCAGGAGCGATGGGTTCGCCAAGCTGGTTCCGGCTCTGGGTCTCCTGCAATGTCGCGGTCAAGGTGCGTGCCTGGGCTGTGCGGGTCTGACCGGAGCCGTGGGCCCGGCTTCCTAGGAGGCAGCTGATCGATGTTTCTCTCTCATCGATGTTTCTGACTCTCTATCCTTCTCCCTTCCTCTCTGTAAAAAATCAATAAAATAGCCGAAACCGGTTTGGCTCAGTGGTAGAGCGTCGGTCTGCGGACTGAAAGGTCCCGGGTTCGATCCCGGTCAGGGGCATGTACGTTGGTTGCGGGCACATCCCCACTGGGGATCGAGCCCACAATCCCGGGCATGTGCCCTTGTCCACAATCAAACTAGGGACCCTTCAGTCTGCAGGCCGACACTATCCGCTGAGCCACACCGGCCAGGGCCGCCCAATTATTAGGATTGGACTCTTCAAGCCGTTTTCAAGGAGCAGGCCTCCTCAGCACCATTGTGTCCTGTGCTAGGAGCTCTCCCCCCCCTTCCTCTCCGAGGTCCCTTCCTGCCCACCACCGGGTCCACGACTCTCTTTCCCCTGCCCCTGCCCGCCCCGCCCCTCCCTGGGAGGGCTGACCCATCCCCGCTCCCTCTCTTCCTCCCCCAAGCAAGCTGCCCTGCTGGAATCTGCCTCCATCCGTCACGGCCAAGGCCTGCTGCCCAATTTGTGAAAGGAAATGAGAGGTGCCGGGGACAAAGACAGATGGGCAGCGCCGGGCGGAGAGGAGCAGGCCGCTTCCTGAGTGTGAGATATGGGCGGCCCTGCCATTACCTGTTCTCCAGGACAGACAGATCATGGCGGACTGGGCTGCAGCAGCCAAGAGACAAATGGCCCAGCTCTGGCCCTGTCACCGGCTCCTAACGGATGGGCTCTTAGGCTCGGGCTCAGCTGCGCTCACAATTGCCTTGCCCGGCTCCTGTGGGACCCTGAACTGGAGGGACCCCAAACAGGAGGGCCAGGGGCAAGACAGCTTTGTGGTATGCGTCCGAGGCACTTACGAATGACAAGACTTAGACACGGTGTCACATAAAACCATCAACAGAGTGCTCCTCCAGGGTGACATCGGAAGTCATACAAACGTTGGGGGGGGGGGGGGACCATTTTAACTCACTAGGGATGGGGCAATGTCAAAGCGTCCAGGGATGGAATGAATTGTCAACTGTGTTCATGCTATTGCCACAAGGTGGCGCCACGGAAGCCGGGGAAACAGATGACCACATTGCGACATTAGGGAGCAAATCACCAAGCTGTTAAGCACACGCTGGATTCTAGCAACTGTGTTTTGTGTGTGTGTGTATGTGTGTGGCTATTCAGCTGTCGTTTTGCCACTCACTGTCATTATAAACCACTTTACGCAGATATATGACATTATCTACGCATTCGCAAGGCAGGGAGGCCAGTACTGGGAAATACACTCCCGCGCCAAATGGATGGATGTCTTTGGAGTGGCTATTGGACCCGATGGAACACCATGAAGACTGAACTGCCTCCACCAGGTGATGCTGTAACCCGGGAGCGTGCTGGGGGCAGAGAGGATGCGGCGAAGACACAGCAGCAGCAAAAGCAAAACACGTGGAGGACGGTTGCAGATTGATGGGCGGTGCGAACGCGTTTGATCACTCCCTTTGCAGGCATTCCTGCGGGGTGAAAGAGGTTCTGGGGTACAAAGGTTTGAACCATGGGAAGTGTACCGAAGGCACCTTCCTGAGAAATGGGGCTTTTTATGCGGTCCTGGCATAAATAGGGCTCCTGAAGCCGCCTCCTGCGAGGGGGGTGCTGAGCGCTGAATTGTGTCCCGTGAAATATCGAGTCCCCTGCCTCCACTTCCTGGCTCAGAGCTCCTCCGACCCCTGTAATTCACTAACCGGTAACAGTACTGGCACACTTTAAAATATTTTTTTAAATTTATTTTAGAGAGGAAGGGAGAGAGATAGAAACATCAATGATAAGAATCATTGACCAGCTGCCTCCTTATAAAAAGGGAAACCAGGACACAGAGATAGACAGACGTGCACAGAGGGAAGACCATGGGAGGACACACAGACCGTGTGAGGGTGGAAGCGATGCTGCCGCAGCCAGCGACCCTCCGGGGATCCCAGAAGCCGGAAAAGGCAACGAAGGATGGACCCTGACAGGAGCCGGGTCCTGGGGACACTTTGATCTTAGGCTTCGAGCTTTCAGGGCTGTGTGACGATACATTTCTTTTCTTTTCTTAAAAACTGATTGCAGAGAAGAAGGGAGAGGGAGAGAGAGAGAGAAACCTCAATGATGAGAGAGAATCAGTGATTGGCTGCCTCCTGCATGCCCCCTACTGGGGATCAAGCCTGCAACCCAGGCATGTGCCCTGGACCGGAATCGAACCCAGGTGTGCAGGCTGATGCTCTATCCATTGAGCCACACCAGCCAGGGCTCTCTCTTATCATTGATGTTTCTTTCTTTCTTTTCTTTTCTTTTTTTAATATATTTTATTGATTTTTTACAGAGTGGAAGGGAGAGAGATAGAGAGCTAGAAACGTTGATGAGAGAGAAACATCGACCAGCTGCCTCTTGCACACCCCCTACCGGGGATGTGCCCGCAACCAACGTACATGTCCTTGACCGGAATTGAACCTGGGACCTTTCAGTCTGCAGACCGACGCTCTACCGCTGAGCCAAACCGGTTTCGGCTCATTGATGTTTCTTTCTCTCTCTCCCTCTCCCTCTCTGGAGTCAATAAAAATACATTTTAAAAAAATCTTTAAAAAAGAAAATGAAGACATTCTCATGCCTGGCCCATTTCCCCCGAACAGCCCCTCTGGAGGGGAGAATGTGCCAGCACTAGACAGAACAGAGAGTTTCCCAACAGCAGCCTCTCCGGATGTGCCGGCAAATGATGCTGGTACCTGGCTGGTGCCCCTGGCCTGGCAAGGGCCTGCGGGGCAGAGCTGGGTGCATGCTATTAGCAGAGTGCTAGCAGCAGTGTCTGCTGGATGCTCCAGGAATGTAGCTCGTGGTTCCTGGGGCTACAGCGGGAGCAGCTTGGCAGCCACGACCAGAGAGGCAGGGCGGTGCAGTGGTCACACCGGCGGGCTCTGTGGGGCGCAGACCTGGGTTCTAGTCCCGGCTTCGCCTGCCCCTGCCTGGACGATGACAGCCAGCCAGAGCTGTCATGCTGAGTCTGCTTCCTCCTCTGTAGAGAAGAGGCGATGGGTTAGTATGGATGAGGTGCTTACGGCTCAGTGAAAACACAGGGATGGTCTCTATTCAACCCTTATGAGTTATTTAAAGTAGGATTTATTCCTTAAAAACAGAAAGTTATGTCCTAGCAGGTTTGGCTCAGTGGATAGAGCGTCGGCCTTGGAACTGAAGGGTCCTTGGGTTGGATTCCGGTCAAGGGTGCAGGTACCTGGTTTGCAGGCTCATCTGGGAGGCAACCAATTGATGTCTCTCTCTCTCTCTCTCTCTCTCTCTCTCTCTCTCTCTCTCTCTCTCTCTCTCTCTCTCTCTCTCATTGTTGTTTCTATCTCTCCCCCTTCACTCTCTCTAAAAACCAATGAAAAAAATACCTTCCAGTGAGGATTAACAACAATAAAAAACCCCCAGAAAGTTATGCCCCCCTTCCCAGCTCATACACATCCCGTCACAACCTTTGATACCATTAAAAAACACACACAAATAATACACATATATGGTTCCAAAACAGAAATCGTAGAGCGCCAAGTGCGCGAAATGCTTTGATTCGGACCGTTTTTTGCACCAACAAAAACAGCTGTCGCATCGGATTCAACCTCGTCAGTGCCAGCCAGTTCACAGAATTGCCAGTTTGTAACTAACTCGTTCATATTCCTCAACGACCCCACGAGGCAGTGACAGCCACACCCCGCTCCTGTCCGTACTTACTTCGTTCTCCTAGAGAGAAGCGGAGGGACCTGGGGAGAGAGTGTCCGACACACGACCCCCCGGGCGGGCGCGTCCCCCCCGGCGCCCTGGACGCGCCAGGACCTGGGAGGCTCCCCGCGCGCGCGCCCCGGGGCCGGCCTCTACGTGGTCTCCCCGGAAAGGCGGGTCGGGATCCGCCGCGCCTCAACCAGTCTTGCTAGCGCTCCTAACAAAAGCTTTCGGAGCCACCGACGCTGCAGCCAATCAACGCCGAGCTTAGGCCCTCCCCAGTGAGAGCGGAACTTTCAATTGGTGGAGTCGTTCGGGAGAGGCGGGACGGAGAGGGAAAGTTCTGCCTCCCTCGGAGCCCTGCACCAATCGCTGCGTCCGAGCGACGGCCCATTTCCCCCCCCCCCCCCGTGTTAGGTTGCCTGGTGAGTCGGGAACTTGGGCCTGAGGGCGGGGCGGGGCGGGGAGCAGGCGCTAGGCTTCGGGGAGGGGACACTTCCTGCGGGCGCGCGCGCGCGCGGCCCGAGGACGGTGACAGCCACGCGCGCACGTGCGCGCGCACCCGGAGATCTCCGTCAGCCGCGGAGAGGCGCGGGGGATCGGGATCGGCGTCGCCGCCGCCGTCTAGGGGGCCGGGTCCTGGTGACCTCAGCGTCCCCCATACCCCGAGTCCCGGAAAGCCGGGCCGGCTCCACCCCGTTGGTCCCGGCTCGCGATCTCTCCCTTACGGGCCGCCAGGGCGCCAGGGAGGGCCCGCCCCACGACTCCCCTTTTCGGCTCCCAGGGCAGGGTCCTCGCGGCCCATGCTGGCTGCTGGGGGCCCGCGCCGCCGCCTAGACAGTTCCCGGGCCGGCCGGCCTGCCACCATGGTGGCCCTGAGGCCTGTGCGGCTGCTCCAGGGGGGCTAACCGTCCCAGAGCGCGGGCCTTGGGGCGCGAGGGTCCCGGGCCTGTGAGCCCCGCGCCATGGCCGGGGCCATCGCTTCCCGCATGAGCTTCAGCTCGCTCAAGAGGAAGCAGCCCAAGACGTTCACCGTGCGGATCGTCACCATGGACGCCGAGATGGAGTTCAATTGCGAGGTGAGCGGGGGGGCCCCCCGGGCAGCCCCGACGGGCTGGGCGCGGCGAGGTGGGAGCCTGGCGGCAATCCCTGCTCCTCCTCGGGGCCCCTCTAGGGCGGCGCCGATCACCGATCGGGGCGCCCCGGCCCGGGTGTCAGGCCGAGGTGGAAACTTGAGGAGTTCTGTTTATATCATTTCTGGGCACCGATAGAGATGGGCCAGAACCGGAAGGGAGCCCTCTAGGCCCAAATCCTCGTGTCAAGGATACTTTGGTGTCTTTTCCAGGAGGGCACTGGGGCTGGGAAAGCACTTCCTGAAAGTTTTCATTCATTGTTACTGCCGGAGGCCGGGAGCATGGGCGGCGGCAGGTTCCAGGGTTCCATGTGGGCTTCAGCGCCAGCTCTGGAGAGTTTTCCCTTCGTTAGGTCATCTGTGTACCCCGGGGCCTTAAAAGACATCTGTCTTATCAGGGAGTCTATGCTTGTTTCCCTTTTCCAAAACTTAAATTTTCTGGGGGAAAAAGAAGAAAAAAAAAAAAACCTCTTTGAGGGAAGAGAGGGTGTCTTATGCTTAAATTTCCTAGACAGTTTGCATGATGATAAGTTATTTGTTGAATTCTTTTGAAGAGGCAGGCTTTCATACATTTCTTTCTTTTCTTAATTTTATTGATTTTCCACAGAGAGCAAGGGAGAGGAATAGAGAGCTAGAAATGTAGATGAGAGAGAAACATCGACCAGTTGCCTTCTGCACACACCCCACTGGGGATGTGCCCGCAACCAAGGTACATGCCTTTGACCGGAATCGAACCCGGGACCTTTCAGTCCACAGACCGATGCTCTATCCGCTGAGCCAAACCGGTTTCGGCAATACATTTCATTCTTGAAGCAAGCGCTTAGCCGCCACGGTACTTGCTGTCTCTCAAGTAACTGAAGCCCTTGCTACTCCAAGTGTGGTCTGTGGACCAGCGTCATGGGCAGCGGTGACCCACGTCAGGGCGTGGAAACTTTGCCAGGAAAGGCCCGCATCATGGATATTTTCAGCTCCAAAGGCCGTTCGGTCTCGGCTGCAACCCCTCGGCTCTTCAGCTGTGCCCTGGTAGCCCAGACACTAACTTTCAGCAGGAGGTGCTCCACTGACCCGGTTCTCTGTAAAACTGGTCAACATTATTTTTAAAAAAAGACTTTAAATCCTCTAGGAATGATAGGGGCCTGCATCGAGTGAAGAAATACCTATTAAAAATATACATCATGCCCTAACCGGTTTGGCTCAGTGGATAGAGTGTCGGCCTGTGGACTGAAGGGTCCTAGGTTCGATTCCTGTCAAGGGAATGTACCTTGGTTGCGGGGCACATCCCCAGTAGGGGGTGTGCAGTAGGCAGTTGATGGATGTTCCCTCTCACTGATGTTTCTAACTCTATCACTCTCTCTTCCTCACTGTAAAAAATCAATAAAATATTATATATATATATATATATATATATTACATCAACAGCCAGCTGGCGTGGCTCAAGTGGTTGAGCGTCAACCTGTGAACCTGGAGGTCACGGTTCGATTCCTGGTCAGGACTCATCCCTAAATGTGGGGCTAGCCGGAGGCAGTCGATCAGTAATTCTCTCTCCTCGTTGTTTCTATCTCTCTCTTCCTCTCTGAAATCAATAAAAATATATATTTTAAAAATACATAAACATTCCATAAGGGAGGTGAGCATTTGATCCAAGACCTCTGCCACCCTGCCTGCTCCCAGCTCAGCAAGGTAGAGAGAGTCTACTGCTGCTGCTCAGAACGCAGGCTCCCTCTCCCCTCGGCGCCTAGTCTGGAGGCTCTCTTCCCGGGAGGAGCAGGACTTCAGTGACTTATCCTGCCCAAGGCTACTTGTTGCTGAGACGTAGGGAGTGGAGTGGGAAGATGGGGCTTCTTTCACCCGAGCCTACTTATGGAAGAGGAGCTGTGCCCTGGGTGTGGCCCCCTGAGAATACTGGGCCCGTTTATTCTTGCCCCAACACAGCTTATGAGATGGTGCTTCCCGCCGGGAGAGCTAAACTGAGAAGGCCCCAAGCTGGTGTGTCCCCATCCCCACTTCCACCAAGGGCTCAGAGATTTTGCCCGGAGGCAGAAGCCAGCTTTAAAATCCTTAGCTTTTTTTTTTTTTTTTTTTTTTTTTTAATCCTAGAGAGAGTGGAAGAGAGGGAAAGATAGAGAGAAATATCAATGTGAGAGAAACACATCGATTGGTTACCTCCTGCATGTGCCCCAACCAGGTCCCGGTCCGGGGAGGAGCCTGCAACCGAGGTACATGCCTTTGACTGGGAATCGAACCCGGGACCCTTTGGTCCTCAGGCCGACACTCCATCCACTGAGCCAAACCGCTAGCGCCTGAGCTTCTTTTTTAAAAATTTATTAAATTTATTGGGGTGATATTGGTCAGCATGAATGGTTTCAGGTGTGGGTTTCTGTGTTACAAAATCTGTGTATTGCACTGTGTGCCCACCACCCAAAGTCAAGTCTCGTCTAGTCTCCATATATTAGGACTCCCTTCTCGCCCACCCCTTCCCTCTGGCATTCACCGCATGCTGTTTGTGTTCACACGTTTCAGTTTTATAGCCCACCTATGATGAAATCGTGTAGCTCTTAGCTTTTTCTGACTTAATTCACTTAGCTTAATGTTGTTGCGATGACGCTCTTTCATCCTTTCCTATGGCCGAGTAGCATTCCAATGTGTATATGTAATGCATCTTCTTTATCCAGTCCTCTACCGGAGGGCGGAGGGCGCTGTGGTTGTTTCCAGGTCTTGGCCACCGTGAATAATGTTACAATGAACACAGGGACACGTATATCTTTGGGAACTCATGATTTCAAGTTCTTTTTTATTTTTATCTTCGGTAAAACCCTTCTAATCTCTTCCCAAGGTAGTGACTTCATTTGCAACAGAGTATGGAGAAGTTTATGCCTCAGGGCGCTCAAGAACAGGAGAGGTCTTGGTGAAAGGCAATTGGGAGGGTATTTATGGATTGCATAAGATAGGGCCTAGCCGAAACCGGTTTGGCTCCGAGAGTCGGCCTGCGCGCATGTAGAGTGCCATTGAAACTTCGTGGCCCATGCGCAGAAGTCAGTTTTTGGCTCAAAAAAAATTTCAATCATTGTAGTGTTGACCACTGGGTTAAACCCTAGGGTAACCACTAAAAAAAAATCTTTACAAATATAGTGCAAAAATTTATTAAAGAAATTTAAATGCTTCATTAGAAAATATTCACTTCATGCAAAAGAAAAATGGCAGTTCTATACCAAATAGTTATGCAACTTAAATGAAATGGACAAATTCCTAAAGACACCAACCATATCAGCATTGGCTCCAGAAGAGACCATCTGGGTAGACCTACAAGGGAAGAGTGTGATTCAGTAATAGAAACGCTAAGGGTCTCTCCAGAGGACTGGAGAGCTTCACTACTGAGTTCTGTCAAACCTTTCATGAAAATTAATGCCGCCCTAGCCAGTTTGGCTCAGTGGATAGAGTGTCGGCCTTCAGACTGAAGGGTCCCAGGTCCGATTCCGGTCAAGGATATGTACCTTGGTTGCAGGCACATCCCCAGTAAGGGGTGTGCAGGAGGCAGCTGATGGATATTTCTCTCTCATCGATGCTTCTAACTCTCTATCCTCCTTTTCTCTCTGTAAAAAAAAGTCAATAAAATATATATATATAAAATACAATAAAGTATACAGTCTATCAAGCCTTAAAGTGCACATCAGGGACCGAGGATCTCGGTAAGATGTGTGGATCTGCATTTCTAACCGACTCTCAGGTGATGCTGCAGCCGAGGGGACGGTGCGTGGGCTCTGAAACAAGACAGACCAGGCTTCATCGAGTTCCAGCTAAACTGCCTAAACCTGGGTCAGGCACGTCAGCTCTCTGGGCCTCAGCTGCCACATCAGTAAAATGGACCGAGTACCACTGCCCCCGCAAGGCTGCCATGAGGATGGCGGGCTGCGGAGTGCTGGGCGGAAAGAGAGGGACTGTCATTGGCCTCGGCCAGTGGTCAGCAAGCTCATTAGTCAACAGAGCCAAATATCAGCAGCACAACGATTGACATTTCTTGTTTTTTTAAAAAATATATATATTCTTTTTATTGATTTCAGAGAGGAAGGGAGAGGGAGAGAGAGAGAGAGAAACATCCATGATGAGAGATCCGAGCCCGCAACCCGGGCATGTGCCCTTGGCCGGCATTGAACCTGGGACCCTTCAGTCTGAAGGCCGACGCTCTGTCCATTGAGCCAACCTGGCTAGGGCTGACATTTCTTTGGAGAGCCACATTTTTAAAATTTCTCCTAACGCCACTTCTTCAACATAGACTCGCCCAGGCCGTGGTATTTTGTGGAAGAGCCACACTCAGGGGGCCAAAGAGCCGCATGTGGCTCGGGAGCCGCGGTTTGCCGACCACGGGCCTAGAAGGCTCAGGTGATTTGTCAAACGGTTGCATCTCATTGAACCTCAGATTTGCAGTGAACATTTACCTGGTTTAAATGATGCTCAGATGTCCCGCTGAAAGCAGCGGCCGTTTAATCTATGATGACTGAGTGAACTCCGCTTCAGAGAAGCCATCGGTCTTACTCTGCTGCCCTATTATTATGTTATACATTCCCCGGGCAAAGTGCTAATGCATTTGGGGGGGGGGGGAAGAAAAAAGAAGAGAGATGGTTCTTGGCTTTATCGAGGTCAAAAGTAGGTGACTTTTTTTTTTTTTTTTTTTTTTAATAGGGAGTCAACTTCAGAACCAGTGGTAATTGACATAGGAATCATGTCCCCTTATGTTAATAAGTTGAAAAATTTTTTGCTGCAGAGATGGAAGGGATTGAGGGAGAACTCTCCTCCTTGCACTGCTTGCTGCATTGCACAATTGGCTCAACGCTTTTGGAGGATTTTTCCACTCCAAAGACCTGATATTTGTCATTTTGAGAGAGTGGGCGCTGAAAGTAATTTGCCAGGAGGCTAAACGGTTTGCTCTTTCTTATCGAGGCTGGAATTTTA